AAATTATATATGTATGTTATATTCCAGTCACCGCCTTAAAATCCTGATAATTTCTTTAAAAACAAATATATTAATCTGACAAAAACAAATCAGAAGCCAGAACTCGTAAATCAAATAGTAAAGTGATGAATGTTAGAGGTTAATGGAAAGCATTCACAGGTATGTAGAAAACTCAATTTTTGGTACTATGGTCCAATAAACATATATTTTTTCAACATCAAAATCGGTTTCCCAAATTATAAGTGCTGTGCTTTTAAATTATTCGAGATAGGGTTTTCAAAATTGGTGGGCAGCTAGTACACCGAATTGCTCAACAATTTTTGTTCTATCACTTCCGGATTTACTGGAAACGACCCCAACTTTTGAATTTTAAATGATCCATAATCGGTTAGGGATTGTCATACCGAATTCACCGATACCGGGTTTGATCTAGAGTAGGCCCTGGTTTGATAGGGTTATTTCAAACGATTACGCAGATATTCGCGTTCTAAGTTTCCATATGATCAATGAGTGTGACAGGAAAAGAAGTTTTGATATTGCGAAGTCACACCCATTGAGCATATGGAAACTTCGAACGAAAATATCTTTGTAATAGATTGAAATGTCCCTTTCAAACCCGGTATCGTTGAATTCGTCATGGTAATCCCTAACCGATTATGGAATGTAATGCAGGTTGTTCCATTTAAAAATTAAAAGTTGATGTCGTTTCCGTTGAAATTTGAAGTGATAGAAGAAAAATTGTTTCATCAATTAATGAGCGATTTGGTATACTTGCTACCCACCAATTTTCAAAACCCCATCTAGAATAATTCAAGAGTTATAATCCTGGCCGTTTTTTGTGCACTTCTCTGTATAAGTTGCTATTCAAAACCGCATCACCCTTGACATCACCCCAATATTTCGACACAAATAAATGGATTGAAAATAACTGCATAATGGACTCGGGGTATTTCTTTCAATAATGTGAAGAAAATACAGCGTATATCAATTCAAATATCCCCTATCATCAGATAAAAAAAAATCATCATCTTAGTTACTAGTCATGCGATTCTTCGTGCGATTCCAACCAAATCGGACTCCGCACTTTCTATGAAAAAAATTACGTCTTGTGAAATTATTCATATTATATTATTGTACTCCACCTCATCACCAAATATGCCTTCGACTAGTTTTCAAGATGCGTTGAAATTAGGAAATGCCAATTTTTCCTCCGCCTCTATCAAAAAAAAACGAAATTCGAATTTTTTGCAGGCACTTTTTGTTAAGACTTTTTTGCATGATATATACCTGGTGAATGGATTTGCCATCTGTCTTTTCTTACCCCCCCCCCCCCACCGGTAGAGAACCACCCATTCAAGAATTTCAAATGAGAATATGGGTCGAGTGATCTGAAAGGTATTCCCACCCCGATAATAGCTATGGCAGATTGCATTGCATTTTTTTTCAGATTCCTTTTCGGATTTCCTCAAAACAAACAAAATATGAAGGTAAGATAGTGTTACACATTGCAATTGGCATAACAAGCAATTTGAAAAAATATAGACCGAAATGTTGAAAAGGAATATTCTCAAATATACAGGCTGATTCACGGTGGATGGCACATTAGACGTTTCTGGTGAACGAGACAACGGATCATTTTGAAAATTCGATGGAGGGCGTATTCGGACATTCTCTAGCCAACTAAAATATTTTCGACCATGCGGTGTTGCCGCTTCTATTAGAAAGCAGTAGCAACTTTGATTTTTCAAATGGAACACTCTGTAATTTATTGCATTTTTAGATTCTCCCTGAAGAGCTGATTTCATCGATGTATCACACCTGGGGTCTAGCGGAAATGATTACAGAGATATAGGGTGTGAAAAATCGACATTTTTCAACTTTAGGATCTTTTTGTGTCGAAACTATTCATCATTGGTCAAAACGGCTTACATGTCCCTATCTCAACTTTTGATTAACTATCAACTGATATTTAATTGGGACATATACCGGGTGATCAAGATTCTGAATTCTGCACCACCCTGTATTTGTTTCAATTAAATGTTAGTAGATAATTGATCAAAAGTTGAGATAGGGACATGTGAGCCGTTTTGACCAATAATGAATAGTTTCGACAAAAAAAATTCCTAAAGTTGAAAAATGTCGATTTTTCACACCCTATATCTCTGTAATCATTTTCGCTAGACCCCAAGTGTGATACATCTATGAAATCTGCTCTTCAGGGAGAATCTAAAAATGCAATAAAATACATAGTGTTCCATTCGAAAAATCAAAGTTGCTACTGCTTTCTAATAGAAGCGGCAACACCGCATTGTCGAAAATATTTTAGTTGGCTAGAGAAAGTCCGAATATGCCCTCCATTAAATTTTCAAAATGTTCCGTTGTCTGGTTCACCAGAAACGTCTAATGTGCCATCCACCGTGAATCAGCCTGTATTATGGACATACAAAAATTGATATATATTAATATGAAGCAATACATTGAGAATTCGCATTCTCTATGTGATGAGAATATCTACTCTTTTTCAGTTTATTCGATAGAAAACAACTACTTGAACGATGGAAACTTGTGATTTTTATAGACCTCTAATCGCAGATTCATGATAGAGTCTCAATTCAGATTTTCTTTCCACGCCCTGTACGATGAATGTCAATTCATCAATCACCCAAAAGCATAGACCAAAATGCTTCAGGAGATAATTAGATTGGATCTGTAATCACTTAATCCAGCCAAACTTAAACTGATCTAGTATCTATTATTAGAAACTGAGTTAGAAACATACATTGGACTTCTACTTCTGACTCATTTTGACTACACTTTTAGACTACTTATTTCAAATTACCCAGTCGGATAATACTTCAAAGTATAATTAAACATGAATTGAAACTTATGCAGAAATTTTCACTGATTAAACACTAAACGAGAATATCTTACTTGATTGTTGAAATCCCTATCAATCACTGGTTGAATAAACATAATAATAATTATCCCTAAAGTTGACAGGGCACACAAATTAACATGTACTCAACTTGGTATACATGATTACAATCGACATTAATATGGTCAATATGAAAATTTAGTCCAATGATGATTCGAAAATTCTGCAAAACTTCAGTCTGAACTAAGTATTTCATTGAAATAAAAAATTGCACATATTCAGCACCCAAATCAAGTTTCCTAAATACCAGTTTGAATGCCAGTAAAACTTTTCAATGCCTTATTGTGTGTGGGATGTTTGGAGAAAAATTACATTCAAAAATATAATACTAATAGGTAATAATGATAAAAACGAAATAATAATAATAATAATAATGATAATAACTGATTCCTGAATGAATAATTTGTTACAAACACTTTTGAACTCTAAACTAGTACCAAGAAGTGATACTAATCATCTAATAATGAGAAATGAGGAAACTATTTTGTGGGTGAACTTTGTTTCATAATGGCTATTATTAAAACGTATATAGATCATTTTAGAAAAACTAATTTCAAAAAGGAAAATGAGATTCATACAGCCCACATTTCCAATTTTAAAACTTATTCGAGGATATCACATGAATGTAGAAAATAAATGTCTGCTTAAAAATAAGAATCTTAAAGACAGAGAGCTGACAACAAATTTCATTGTCCGATTAATAGTTCAATATCTCCTACCTTATTATACTACCGTAACATCATTAAAAACTGATCGGGATGTCTGGCAGGTTTTCAGTGGTGGAGACGGCCGTGGTATGGCCGTTATGGGTTGAAAAAAAACCAATGTATAAAATCAGCATATCACGGAAAAAAATGGCAACAGTGGAGTCAAATACAAAAAACAAGGAACAATTGTGTAATAAAAAAACTCATCATCAGTAGATATTCTGGTGTATTGTAACAAAAAACGAAAGAAAAAATGGCCCCGACGATGGAGTGTCGTTTTCACGCACCTTTAACTATGATGGTTGGCGGTATAAATTCCACCACTCAATGTGTCTGGCATATTTTTTATTGAAAAGCAAACATAATTGGCTACCACCCCACAAAAATCCAACGCTCTATGAATCGTACCTTGCATTGATTTTTTTTCAACACTTTACGGCCATACCACGGCCGCCTCCACCACTGAAAACCTGCCAGATATCTCTGTCAGTTTTTAATAAAGTTACGGCAGTACAATACGTGATTGGTATATTAATCGGACAATGAAATTTGTTGTCAGCTCTTAGACTATTATAAAATCTGTGTAATTCTGATCATTGATCATGAAGTTGAAAACTGATAGAACATGTTTGACACTCTAATTGAAGATAGGTACTTACTCGGGTACTTACCTACATATTCAAAATGAGATGACTATAAAATTGTTAAAACCCATATAATCGGCTGAAAAAAATTTGTGACAATGTCATAAATCAATAATTCAGATATTTTGAGGATGTACACTGAGGATCATTGTTCATTAATGAAAGAAGTGAAAAAATAAAGTCACCTAGCGAAATAAAATGGTTGAGGCAAATGAGACATAGCAATTCAATACATGGGATGTTTATCAAACTGTCAACCTTTCATTCCCTGTGAAAAATGGGAGGTAGGTATATTGTTGTTTTGTTGAATCTACATGAAACTGACACTGAACCATCCTGACATATCAAATCTAATATCAAATTATAGTCAGCATGAGAATGTCTTCTACAGGAATTTTGTTAAATGATTATGTACCTTCTATTTTGCTCTAGAATCATACAAATTTCAAAAATCTCAATCCAAAATCTTCGCCATTTTGTGAATAGCAAATGTTATCAGGTCACTTGAAGATGACAGATCAAGTGTCAAATGAGTCACATTTCAAATGAGAAATGAAGAGATTAAGTTATGTCCTCGATGATTTCAATTAGTTTTATCATTGACTAAAAGAAACAAGAAATGAATTATGCTTATCAGACACCAAAAATCATTTTTTTCAAGTTGAAAATACTGGACTGTTTCTGATGGTTCTCAATTTAGTAGTGACAGAATTTATAACATCATAACCCACTGCCCTTGTCACTGCCATGCTGATAGTTTATGAACACACATATTGCACAATTGAAATTATATTCTATCAAATCCCCCCAAAGCACTTTTTGCATTAGGTATGGCATGAGAATAGTAGTTCAGGAATTTTTGGGATTACCATAGATTCCTAAGATCTCCACATTATTATATTTCAAAAGAATTTCAAGGAATCCCTTCCCAACAAATACCCACCAAGGAATTTTCCTCGGAATTTTCATGAGTTACATTTTCCCTTTGATGAAAATGAAAAATCATATCCATCACAAAATATATGAAACTAATAATGGTAAATGATTAGAAATGGAAGCTGCATGAAACCACATTAAAAATAATAATTGTTCACTGTGACTTGACTGTGATTTGTATTCCACACCCTGATTATCTACAAACTAGCAAATTAGAAGGTGGCTAGACTATTGGAATTCACCTACCCAAAAAATATACTGGAAGTTGAAGCTCTTTGAGGCAGCTGTATAATAGCCTAACGTCTTTTCCTAATATTCTCTTACTATAACAAGATTGTATCATACTAAGTAATGTTAACTGTATACTTTCAGATTGGTAACCTCTGCACTGATACAAAAAATAAAATTGATTTGCACACTATTTAATGTAAATAGTGAAAAATTCTAAAACCGGCTATCATACAATATATACAACAATGACTAACAAATTATAAATACAATAAAACATACTAGGACTCCATCACACATTATGCCCACAGAGGGCCATATTTTATCCTACCTATTTGACTCCATTTACTGATACTTCTCCTAATCACTGCAGCCATAATAATATAGTGCAATTGCAGTGCAGGGAAACCAACCAAGTAAGCGCTAAACCATACAATGGAAGAGCCTCGGACAATGGCAGACTGTCTTAGCCTGGGAAAGAGGCAAGGCTACTTACACAAAACACATGGATCATTCAGAACTCAGCAAACTCCTTGGTGCACTTCTCTGTTGAGGATATGCGAAGTGCTTCCTCTTCATAATCATCAAAATTACTTGTATCTCCTGGACCCTTACATCTTGGTATAAAAGGGGCCTCAATTTTCTTTTGGAATATTGCTATCCAATCAGTTGAAGCAAACCACTTGTGGCCCTTTATGTCATTAACCCCAGCTTTGAGGTTACCATAACGCTTTGTCAAGTCAACTTGCAGTAGATTACGTAACAGGTCTTTTAAATCTGAGCCAAAGTGAGAGGGAAAACGTACTTTACCTGATACTATCTTCTCATATATCTGGATGGGTTGATCAGCAAAGAAAGGAGGATAACCAGCTGCCATTTCATAAACAAGTACACCAAGAGCCCACCAATCCACTGCTTTGTTATAACCCTTGCTGAGGATAATCTCTGGTGCCAGATATTCAGGAGTGCCACAAAGCGTCCAGGTGCGCCCCTTGACTTTCTTTGCAAACCCAAAGTCTGTAACTTTGAGATAACCTTGAGAATCAATCAGTAAATTCTCAGGCTTCAGATCTCTATAAATCAGATCTAAATAATGGAGGTATTCAAATGCCAAAACTATTTGAGCAGCATAGAACCGTGAGTGAGGCTCTGAGAACCTTCCAACTTTGCGGAGATGTGAGAACATCTCACCTCCTGGTACATACTCCAACACCATGTAAAGATTGGAATTGTCTTTGAAATGGAACTTGAGGCTAACAAGAAACGGAAAACTGATTGCTTGTAAGATGCGCTTCTCATTTAGTGTATGTTCAACCTGCTTCAATTTGACAACTTTTTGTTTGTCCAGGATTTTCATAGCATAATATTCTTTGGTTGGTTTGTGTTGCACTATCATGACTCGGCCGAAAGAGCCCGTCCCAAGTGTCTTGATTCTTTCAAAATCGTCTAAGCCGGCCGTGTTAGTCGGATTTCTTTTCCATTTTTCTTCGAAATCCTCCTTTGCTTGATCCAGAAATTCCTTGACGCTCTCAGCTGCATCGACCTTTTTGTTCGCCGTAGCGGCATTGTTGCCCATGGTTTGAACTTTTAAGCCTTCCAGGGCTCCGAATTTACTATATACACTCCGCCTGAAGCACCAAGGAGGTTCTCGGATGCAAGAGCGGAGGACAAAAATGTCAATAATTGTCCTATGTCAACACACTTTTTTCATATTCATTTCTACTTCAGTTCAGTTGTCCTCCCTTTTTTATTTCACTCTCGAACTAGGGTTGTCACAGCCCAACTCGAATTACGTAAGAAAATTTGGATGAAACAACGATCACGCTTATTTTCCGCTTCGAAAATCACAATAAATAAACTACATAAAATGGCTGCTACCTCTGGGTCAATTTTGTCACTTCAATTCAATACTTCATTAATTTTATTAGGTTCAGAAATGTTTCACTTTCACGTTTCACTCACTTCGCCAACCATCAGGGTTGCCACTGTTGCCGGTTCGATTTTCATTAGATAGAGATACCTTGTCAAAAATTCAGTATATTTCAGTAGATTAATTTTATGATTTTTATGCTATACAAATTTCAGGAAAGGATAATTAATTAAACCTATGCTATGACGTCAAAAAAAATATGTATTTTTCTGTGATGGGACATTTTGACATGAACTCAATATAAAAACCTTGGTGGCTTCTGTTGTTATGCAAATTGCCAGTAATGCCAGTTTCGAAGAATAAAATTAGGCCTATAAAATTTTTCTCGGAGAGTTTCTCGGAGAGTCGGAGAGTAGGGGATCTGGGAAGTCCCAGGTCCTGGTCACCGTGGTCGTTCACGTATGAATTCAATAACCCGCAATTCCTCACGAGGTGGTGAAGTAAAGCGCTTAGACGCATTCGAATTATTCTTAATCAGTAGCGCTCGAAAATTAATGTGAACATAGTGTGCCCAAATATATAACCCAGCCAACACATTTGTGACATGACATCTTTGAAATCTCGCGTTTAGATTACATTGCAATGTCACGAACGTTCCATCGCTGCGATGTACAGAAGCAATCACATCTGTGACATGACATCTTTGGAGATGTCGCGATGAGGTAACAGTTAACACTGGGATATTACGAATGTTTCATGGCTGCGATGTACAGAAGCAAACATATCTGCGATAAAATCTCTATAGATCTCATGATGAGGTAACACTGCGATATCACGAATATTGCATCGCTGCGATGTACACATGTAGACTTCTTATTTCAGAAATTCAAATATTCGATATTTGAATTCTGGTTGGCTGAAAAAGATTACTTAAATATACGTTACTCAACAAAGTGGAGCTAAATACGCAACAGTCGTTAAATTGCTATCAAACTATTCTTGATTTGCTTACATCTCGCCGACACACACTACTTAATTTTTTATACAAATACGAGCTACTAATATCATCCTGATGAAGATGCTTAGATACTAAGTATTGCGCCGCTGAAAATAAGATTAAATGGTCAGAGGGACCCTAGGGTACCCGATGGACCACCAACCAGTGACAACAATGCATAACCAATATTACTAGATGTCATCAGACGTCAGTGGTGTATTATCATCGCTTTTCTATCACAAATAATATATCGCAATTACATTGCAAAAATGATATTGCAGTTATATCGCAGAGATTTTATCGCAGATGCGTAGATCATACTCGAGTTGGACAAAATTAATAGACAAAATAACATCCCTCTGACATCGCAGCGATGTCTATGCAACATAGATGGCGATATCGCAGGTCACAATTGTTGAATCGCTGTGATATCTCTGTGATGTAACTGTATTATAAATAAATGTCATAATTTTATTCAGTAGATTATGAAAATAATGTTTCAGTAGATCAATAGATCAATATGCAAATCAGTAGATCTACTGAGAATTCAGTTGAACCGGCAACCCTGGCAACCATTTACGGCGCAGGATCACCGCAGGCCGCAGGAGGACAAATCTGTTGGCACTGTTAGCAGTGTCACAGTTGGCCCGAATTCGTTTTGCCCAAACACCCGTCAACGACCAATCATAAGAGTTCGGACAATGATGTTCGGGCACAGAAATGACAACTGTTAGTGTTTTTGAATGTTTAGATTTATTAAGTTGCACACCTTGCATCGTGACATCAGCACCATAGTCGTCCCGCGCTATTTCATTCATTCAAATTGTAGGAATATAATATAATTGATTAAAATATAAACAATCACCCTGTGCATCGTACCGTATCACATCGCTCACACTACTATATGCCCGGAAATGTGTCTTTGAAAAACGGTTCATCGAGGTTCATGAGTAATCAGTGGAAGCGATTGTGGGAGGTAAGCGGAATGGAGGAGGTAAAAAAAGCATGAATGAAAATCTCCTACTGTGTAATGAATTGTAGGAGTCCTGTAGAGAATGGAATTCAATTTTCAAATATTTAATTTTCCAAAGGAAATATTAACCATTCTTCCATGGAAGGAATGTGTGAAACAGCCTGGATGGAAAATTAATTCGAAGACGAGCAAAATATGTGAGGTAAATACATTAAAATTCACTTCTTACAAATGCAGATTATAGTGGAACTATATTTTAAGCCCATTTTCAAACAAAAGAATTTCAGATTCGTTTCCGATACCATTAATTTTTCGTGACCCTACTCAAAAGCAGGGTCGTCAGAATCGCAAAAGACACCGCATGCACATTACGAATTTATGTGAAATATAAGTAATACGAAAAACGTGGGAGTTTACCACTCCACGACAACAATATAATAATAATAGTATATTGTGCAACAAGTGGGAAAAATTCAACTTTTCAAACGCACGAGTGAGAAAAGTGCTTTTCCCCACATGTTGCACACTACACTGTTTCTGCAACTGCACTCATTCAAAGAATCCGAGTAATGTAAGTTATTATTGGTATTCATTTTATAATGTGGCACTATGCCACATTGAATATTGTGACCAAAGAGTAGACGCCTTTCCTAGTTCCTCAAAGTATTTCAAAAAATACACTTTCCGAAAAAGAAACTATTTCTGTATTTTTTCAGATTCCATAAATTTTTCGTACCAATATGTCAATTCATACGTTTTTCTTGAAAATCCACAAATCCAACTTGCTTCGCAGCTTTTTCCATTATCTCTGTTTCTGGCGGTGTATTTATCAAAATCGTCACATCTCCGTATACTTATACATCATATTATTTATTATGAATTGTTGGAACTAGATTTGATAGAAATTGCGATTTCTATCAAGAGCAAAAATCGGTTGGGAAGGAAAAAAGTTATGACTGCGAAACCTAAAAGTAAATTTTTCGATATCACTCTGTAAGTAAAAGGGATAATAAGACAATTCGAAAAATATCTCAAGGTAATCTGCTGTCAAAGTTGAAAAAAATGTTTTCGTTCATTTGGGATCCTTTTGAAAATTCAAAAATTTTTCACAGTTTCAGGTGACACCCTGTAGCGAGTTTATATGAGGAACCTCATGTTTTTTTAAAAGAAGTACTAGCTTATAGCTAGCGACAGTGTGAACCAAATTCAAATTGTTCAAAGCATCAGAAAACAAGTTATTCATATTTTAACAGGGGGTTAAAATTTCATGACCAATCACCTTATCCAGGAATGCGGGCTGGATATAAATATAATATACCATAGGAAATTATACAATTAGTACAGGGTATTTCGAGACAAATCTCCAATCTGAGTATATGGATAATAATAAGAGTTTGAAATTCGTGTGTGACCATTTCAAAGAAATTTTGACGACTTCGAAAATCATTCTGTGAAAATTGGCAGTTTTCCGTTACCTAGCCTAGCACAGTCAGCGATACGAATTGACAATTTTTTTTCGGGATTGTTCTAATCGTATATGTATATGAAAATGAATCAAAGGAGTACCTACTCTAAGATTTCTAGATGTATCGTGGTATCGGCTCAAAATATCTATCAGATTATACTATCACTCATAATAAAGAAAATTTAAAAAAACTCACCAGCGTGAAAAAAGTGAGGCTTTGATGAAACAACACGAAACACTGGAACAACACACGATCCCGATATTATTATTATTGAATCGAATGAGGAATACAAAAACACCATATACGCGAATCAATACGATCACTCAGTTTTTAGGGAACACTCAGTTTGAAACGATAAATAATTCCTTTCACGTATTTCTCAATGTCGATCACAAAACTCGACCGTACGTGATGACATCGAATATAGAACTGTCTTGATTTACCACCTGGTCCCGAATGAATGACTAATGAGTTGATGAATCATGCTGCTAACCGATTAATTTCCGAACAAATGATTTATCTATGACTAATGATGATAATGGAATTATACGGGGGAAAGTATATTACTAATGATGATTATACGGGGGGGAAAGAGATAGCTGTAGCTTGGAGGGGGTGGATTTTAGGACACATGTTTATAGGAAAAAAAAGTCTTATTTTGACCCCAGGAATATGTCATTAAAATATTTGTATTGAATTATGTAACACCCTGTATAAATATATATATAAATATATATGTACGGAAGCCTGGCACTGGTCGTGCCATTCAGACTTCAAGAGTTCGGACTTCAGAGATCTGACGTCACATCAATCTATTTCATGTTCTATGCAGTTTCATGACATCCACAAGCGTCTAAATCATAACAAGACCAGCGAATCATTCAAGGTTATCAGAAGGTTATAAGACATAAGAAGGATAATATGAGGAAAGAAAAAAGCAAGTTCTCTCAACCTAATTTGTAGGGATTGAAACCCAGTCACCTCCGTGGAAGTCCGATCTCTTCTCGAAGTAGTCGTTTTGGTCGTTTCTCAATATAAAGAAGGAATATCATGTGTTGTGGGTGACGTCACTTGACCTCGATGTTTGAAAGATTTGCTGGTTGCTGGTCTATTTTGATGACAGCAGAGGTTATTCTGACGGGTTATCGGAACAAAACAATTATTAATTATTGCTAGGAATTGAAAATGAGCGAAAATGAAGTTGACACGTTGACATTGATAATTATTAACTGTCAAATATTTAAAAGTGTACGCAACGCTACCTATCGAAAATCTGTCAAAGTGTTTTGTTTGCTCTGTTTGACTCACATTTGCAGAGATAATACTGATAATAGTTTTGTTTATTGTTTGTTCAAGTTGTTGTCGTCAGGTGGGGCGATTAATCATTGGTTGGTTGGACCATATACGTATTAATAATCGGTTGGACAAAATAAAATGATATTTCAAAAAATTATATCTAGTTTTTCACGCTATTACTCTTTGTTGCAGTTCTGTCCAATTTTTCATATTTTAGATTGAATACTTATACGCCTTTGACCCACGTATAGATTTTATGAAGTTTTTGTTCATAAATCATAAAATATTTCTTGTTTTGATTAGTCATACTTATATATGTATATTGCTTCACAAATATTTCAGTATCTAGGTATTTTCCGAGGTATTTTCTTTTTTATATGAA